CCACAGACATATTCTTTTGAGTTTTTTTAACAGGACAAAATCAAATCAAACCAAAATTCTGTGTTTTGTTTTGCCCATTTTTCAGAATTGTGCGTAATCCTTCAGTCGCGTCGTGAACTCGAGCGTTTACCGCCGACAAACTGCACAACTGTTGATTTGTTTGTTGCCGCGGCGGCGAGTTTGGCCTCTTATCTTTCCCCCCCGTCGCGGTCACCGGCTTCGGATCGGAACTCGAGCCGACGCCCCGAGCCCCCGACCCCCTCGAACGCTCCGCCGTACCAGAGCCGGAGACGGGAAGTGTCGCTATGGAAACAGGGGCAGAGGCAGCACAAGGATCTGACTGTGTCTGTGTGAAAGGACGGAGGGATGGATGGAGACAGAGAGAAGAGAAGAGAAGAGGGGGAATAAGAGCGAGAGAGAGAGGAGGGGGGAATAAAAGAGAGAGAAGAGAGGGAATAAGAGAGAGAGAAGAGGGGGAATGAGACAGGGAGAGAAAGAGTGAGAGAGAAAGCGAGAGGAGAGGGGAAGAGAGAGAAGAGGAGGAGAAGGAGAGAGAAGAGGGGCAATGAGAAAGAGGGAAAGAAGAGGAGAGAGAAGAGGGGGAATACAGACAAGGTTGGAGAGAGAGAGAGAAGAGGGGGGAATGAGAGAGAGAGATACAGACAAGGGTGGAGAGAGAGAGAGAAGAGGGGGGAAAAGAAGAGATAGAAGAGGAAAAGGAGTGAGAGAAGAGGGGGAATAAGAGAGAGAAGAGGAGGAGCAGGAGAGAGAGAATAATCGCAATAAGAGAGAAGAGGGGAAATGAAGGAGAAGAGAGAAGAGCGGGGAACAAAAGAGATAGAAGAGGAGGAGGAGGAGGAGAGAAAAAAAGGGGAATAAGAGAGAGGGGAGGAGAGAGAGAAGAGGGGGAATGAGAGAGATCCAGACAAGGGTGGAGAGAGAGAGAGAAGAGGAGGAAGAGAAAGAGAAGAGGGGGAATAAGAGAGTGAGAGAGAAAAAGTGGGCGTGAAGAGAGGGAGAGAAAGAGGAGGTAAGAGGGGGAATGAGATAGAGAGATGGGTTTGTAAAAAGAGGGAGAGAGGGGAGTAAGGGAAAGAAGAAGAGAAGGAAAAGAGAGAGAGAGAGAGAGAAAGAGGAGGAGAGCGAAGAGGGGGATTAAGAGAGGGAGAGAGATACAGACGAGGGTGGAGAAAGGGAGAGAAGGGGAGACAAAGAGAGGGAAGAGGGGGAACAAGAGAGAGGGGATGTAAAAAGAGGGAGAGAAAGAAGAGAGAGAAGAGAGATAGAGGAGGATGGGGAGAAAAGCAAAGGAGAGAGGAGAACAGTGGGGAAGAGGGGAAGAGAGAAAAGGAGAGAAGGACAAAGATGAAGGGCAAGGAGGTGTGAAAGTGCAAAGGGAAGAGAGAGGAGGAGAGGGGGAAGAGAGGAGTACCACGGAGAGGAGGATGGAGAGATAAGAGAGGGATGTGTGTAAAAAGATGGAGAGATTGGGAAGAGACAAAAGTGGAGACGGGGAAGGAGGAGGATGAGAGACAGAAGAGAGAGAGAAAGAAGAAGAGAAGGAGAAGAGAGATAGAGGAAGATGGGGTGAAAAGCAAGGGAGAGGGGAGAAGAGTGGGAAAGAGAGAAAAGGAGAGAGAAGGACAAAGATGAAGGGAGAGGAGGTGTAAAAGGACAAGGGGAAGAGAGGGTAAGAAGAGGAGAGAGAAGAGGAGGAATGAAGAGAGAGATAGAGAGAAGAGGAGAGAGAGGAGAATAAGAGAGGAGAAAGAGGAGAGAGATAAGAGAGAGAGAAGAGGGGGAATAAGAGAGAGAGAAGAGGGGGAATAAGAGAGAGAAGAGGGGGAGAGAGAGAAGAGAGGGAATAAAGAGAGAGAGAGGGAATAAGAGAGAGAGAAGAGGGGAATAAGAGAGAGAGAAGAGGGGGAATAAGAGAGAGAGAAGAGGGGAATGAGACGGGAAGAAAGAGTGAGAGAGAAAGCAAGAGGAGAGGGGAAGAGAGAGAAGAGGAGGAGAAGGAGAGAGAAGAGGGTCAATGAGAAAGAGGGAAAGAGAAGAGGAGAGAGAAGAGGGGGAATACAGACAAGGGTGGAGAGAGAGAGAGAAGAGGGGGGAATAGAAGAGATAGAAGAGGAAAAGGAGTGGGAGAAGAGAAGGAATAAGAGAGAGAAGAGAGGGAATAAGAGAGAGAGAAGAGAGGGAATAAGAGAGAGAGAAGAGAGGGAATAAGAGAGAGAAGAGAGGGAATAAGAGAGAGAGAGAAAGAGAGAGAAGAGAGGGATAGAGAGAAAGAGAAAGAGAGAGGGGAATAAGAGAGAGAGAGAGAAGGGGGGGAATGAGAGAGAGAGATACAGACAAGGGTGGAGAGAGAGAGAGAAGAGGGGGGAATAGAAGAGATAGAAGAGGAAAAGGAGTGAGAGAAGAGAGGGAATAAGAGAGAGAGAAGAGAGGGAATAAGAGAGAGAAGAGAGGGAATAAGAGAGAGAAGAGAGGGAATAAGAGAGGGGATAAGAGAGAGAGAGAGAAGAGAGGGAATAAGAGAGAGAGAAGAGAGGGAATAAGAGGAGAGAAGAGAGGGAATAAGAGAAAGAGAAGAGGGAATAAGAGAGAGAGAAAGAGTGAGAGAAAAGGGGGAATGAGAGAGAGATACAGACAAGGGTGGAGAGAGAGAGAAGAGGGGGAATAAAAGAGAGAAAAAGTGGGCGAGAGATTCACACTGGGGTGAAGAGAGGGAGAGAAAGAGGAGGTAAGAGGAGGAATGAGAGAGAGATTGGAGAGAGGGGAGAGAGAGAAAGGGAGGGTAAGAGAAGGAGAGAAAAGAGGAGGAATATGAGAGAGTGAAAGGGAGAGAGATACAGACGGGGTTGGAGAGAGGGAGAGAAAGAAGGGAACGAGACAGAGAGATGGGGGAGAGGAGTTGTAAAAAGAGGGTGAGGGGGGAGAGAGAGAGAGAAAGAAGAAGAGAAGGAGAAGAGAGAGAGAGAGAGAGGGGGGGTAAGAGGAGGAGAGAGAAGAGAGGGAATAAGAGAAATACAGATGAGGGTGGAGAGAGGGAGAAAAGGGGAGACAAAGAGAGGAAGGGAGAGAAAGAGGGGGTAAGAGATGGAGGAGAGGCATTGTAAAAAGAGAGAAAGAAGAAGAGAAGGAGAAGAGAGAAAAGAGAGATAGAGGAAGATGGTGAGAAAAGGAGGAGAGAGGAGAAACGTGGGGAAAGAGGGAAAGAGAAAAGGAGAGGATGAGAGAAGGAAAAAGACGAAGGGCGAGGAGGTGTAAAAGGCCCTGGAGAGATAAGAGAGAAAGATGGAGAGACTGGGAAAAGACAAAAGAGGAGACGGGGGAAGAAGAGGATAAGAGAGAGCAGAAGAGAGAGAGAGAGAGAGAGAGGGGGGAGAGAAAGAAAAAGAGAAGGAGAAGAGAGAAAAGAGAGATAGAGGAAGATGGGAGAAAAGCAAGGGAGAGGGGAAAACAGTGGGAAAGAGAGAAAAGGAGAGGAGAAGAGAAGGGGAAGAGAGAGGAGCACGGATGGAGAGATAAGAGAAAGGAGGAGAGCAAAGAAAGAAACAGAGGAGAAAGAAAGAGAGAGAAAACGAGAAAACGGACGGTTACAGAGAAGAGAGAAGAGGAGGAGAAAAGAGAACAGAGAGAGTACAAAAATGGAGAGATCGGGGAGAAAAGGGGAGATGGAGGTGGAGAAAGAGGAGGAGGATAAGAGAGAAAGAGAGAAGGAGAGACAACAAGAAGTGAAAAACAGGAAATAACACAGAGAGAGAGAGAGAGAAGATAAGGAACGACGGGGAGGAGAGGGTGGGGTGAGCAACAAGAAAGAAGCGGAGATAAAAGGGAGCGAGGGATGGAGAGGGAGGAGGGGTGGAGAGGGGGAGTGATAGAACGAGAGGGCAAATGGCCGCTGGCTGTGCAGAGGAATCCACCAGAGCAACAGGACACATCTGATTTAGACTCAAGCACAAAAGAGAGAAAAGAGAGAGACAGAGACAGAGAGAGAAAAGAGAGAGAGAGAGGGATGGAGATAAAAGGAGGGTGGGATAGAGAGAATAAGAGGATGGATGGACACTGGCTGTGCAGACAGGTCCTCCAGCAGATGTACAGAGATGAACGTGTGAAGGAGAAGAAGAAGAAGTAAGCAAAGAGAAGGAAAGAGAAAGAGACAGACATTTATGAGAGTAGAAAGAGAGACAGAAAGAAGAGAGAGACAGAAAGAGAGAGAGATACATTTAAGAGAGGATGAAGAGGGAGAGAGAGAGAGAGAGAGACATTTGAGAGGAGGAAGAAAGAGAGAGAGATTGAAGAGAGCAGAGGAAGAGAGAGAGAGACATCTAAGAGAGAGAGGAGGAAGAGAGAAGGAGGAGGAAGAGAGAGAGAGATTTAAGAGAGGAGGAAGAGAGACATTTAAGAGAGAAAGATCCGAGAGAGAGGAGGAAGAGAGAGAGAAAGAAGAGGAAAAGAGAGAGAGAGGAAGAGAGAGAAGGAAGAGAAAGAGGAGGAAGAGAGAGAGATTTAAGAGAGAGGAGGAAGCAAAACAAAGAGAAAGAGAGAGGAGGAAGAGAGCAGGAAGAGAGACAGACAGAGAGAGGAGGAAGAGAGCAGGAAGAGAGAGAGAGAGAGAGACAGAGAGAGGAGGAGAGAGAGAGAGAGAGAGAGAGAGAGAGGAGGAAGAGAGAGAGAGAGGAGGAAGACAGGGGCGAGAGACATTTCAGAGAGGAGGAAGAGACACAGAGAGAGAGAGGAGGAGGAAGAGAGAGAGAGGAGAGAGAGAAAGAGAGAGGAGAGAGAGAAGAAGAGAGAGAGGAGAGAGAAAGAGTAAGAAAGAGAGAAGAGGAAGAGACAGAGAGAGAGAGAGAGGAGGAGGAAGAGAGAGAGAGAAAGAGAGAGAGGAGGAAGAGAGAGATTTAAGAGAGAGGAGGAAGCAAAACAAAGAGAGAGAGAGAGAGAAGGAAGAGAGCAGGAAGAGAGACAGACAGAGAGAGGAGGAAGAGAGAAAGAGAGGAGGAAGACAGGGGGGAGAGACATTTCAGAGAGGAGGAAGAGACACAGAGAGAGAGAGGAGGAGGAAGAGAGAGAGAGGAGAGAGAGAAAGAGAGGAGGAAGAGAGAGAAAGAGTAAGAAAGAGAGAAGAGAAAGAGAGAGAGAGAGAGAGAGAAAGAGAGGAGGAAGAGAGAGAGACATCTGAGAGAGAGAGAGAAAGAGGAAAGAGAGAGAGGAGGAAGAGAGAGAGAGGAGAGAGAGAAAGAGAGAGAGGAGAGAGAGAAAGAGAGGAGGAAGAGAGAGAGAGAAAGAGGAGGAAGAGAGAGAGAGAGAGAGAGAAAGAGAGAGAGAGAGAGAGAGAGAGAGAGAGA